ATCGGAGCCGACTGTTCGATCGCGTATTTCTCCTGGCCAACTAGGATGCGAACCCCGATATGTTTTGGATGTCTTCCGGCACAATCGGATCCCCAGGACTTCCACTTCCCGAATTGAAACCTCTTCTGCAGCCCCTTGCGCAGTCCTGTCTCTCCCCCAGATGAGCCGAGACGATGGGGTCTCCCACCCCAATCAGAATCACGGCCCTGGGTCCTCCCTGAGACGAACGCTTTGCCCGCGGGCGCGGCTCCGGCAGCACGATTTCTCAAACCGCCGCCGACTAGCCGCTCGGCGAGGGTGCGGCGCCGCAAAATCGAGCGTCGCTCAGGTCGCACACCGGGGAAATCAGCTCGATCAGCCCCCCCGGGCCCAAATTCAAACCTCGGCGCGGTTCGCATCAAATTTGGCTGCGAGGTCTGGCTAAGCGATTAGACTGGCAAAATGCGCCTTCGCGCCCGCCACCTCGAGCTCCCAGCCGAGAGAGCAGATGGCCTGAGGCGCCGGCATTATTGATTCCGCGTGGGCGGCGGGAAAATGCACGCGCACCTTATCACTGTCTGGGCCGCGATGACCCTGCGCGCGCCAACGTTCCCGATCGCTTCGGAACCGAGGCCCTCCTGGCGCCTGAAAATTCGCATCATCCTCGGGCCAAACACACTATCAGGATAACGCTTGCGAATCAGGGCGGCCTTGGAGCCGGCGACCCTGACTGCGCGGGAGTCAAGGATGGCCTCGCGTTCCTCAGCATCAGAGAAGACAACGAGTTCACGCTCACAGCGCGCGAGATTCTTCAACGAAACTTCAGCCCCCCCTCGACTCGGAGGGGCGGCCCCAGATAAACCCCCTTGAATCGACGCACGCATGCGTCTCTCATTCCCAGTCCCCGAAAGTAAACCAAAACGAGGGTCCCCACCCGTGCTGGCTGCGCAACTCCTACCAGAGCCCCTCTTCGGCCTCGGCACCATCTGCCTCCGCTCCGGAGCTCTCGTCGACTCTGAAGCCGAGCCTCCTTCGAGCGGCTTCGGGGGTGCAAGACCTTCGGCGAGCCTGGCTCTCGTCGGCGTTCGCTGCAGCACCCGAGTTGCCCGGCGCGGTTGATCTCCTTGCTTGGCGACTGCAATCAGGGGCATCGCCCCGCAAAGAACGCCGACGGATGACCTGCCAATCGATCATTCGAGCCACGGCCCTAACACGGCCCTCAGACAGGCCCCCATGGCCGTCCGCCGTGGCCCGAAAGGCCGGCGGGATCGCCTCGATCGGCGGGTTGACACGGGGGCGCTGGAGAGGCAGAGGCCCTGACTCTCCGTCTGACGCGCCTGCCCGAGCGGCGCCAGCCGGAGCAGGAGCGCCTGACACTTGTCGAGAGACATCAAGAGAGGGAGCGCAGAGAGATGACGGGGGGGAAGGGGGCGACCTGAATCCGAGTTCACTGAAATCGGCCGCGGCCCCCGGACCAGCCCAACGGAGCTTGCCGATGCCAGCCTGGCCCTCACGCGCCTGCCCCTGAGAGCGCCCCCACGCGCGCGCCCCATTCCTGGGGGGGGGCAGAATCCACGTGGCGACGGGCCTTCAAAGCCGTGGCCACACGGTCCTTGATGCCCATGGACATCACGACTCTCTTGGCCCCCTCGCGAAACGCGTGCTTCCTAACGATATCCCCCACCCCTGTCTCATCGATCGCCTCATCTGACAGCAGGCAGCGAGGTAGCCGAGGATTTTCCCGGAACACCATCTGGCACGGTGAGAATCCCCCCTATGAGCGCAGCGGTTCTTGGCGGCCGTTACCTCGCAAAGGAGATCCTCGAACTCGTCCAGAGTGGCGGGGCTCGCCCACGGAGCCGCCCGAGCCAGGGCCTCCTTGGCGAGGCCACCATGGCGCTCGCAGCGACCATTCTGGCGCGGGGACTCCGCGTCGCACGCGTGTTGGGAGTTTCCGATGTTCTCCAATCCATCTATCAGAGCGGTCTCAGGCATGCCCGGAGGCCTGACACAGCGACGCAGGAACGCAGAACAAGCCTCTGGCGCCGCGGCTGCTGGCAACAGAACACGCACCTGAAAGTTGCCGCCGTGGTCGATCAGGTCCAGGAACGGCCGGCTCTCGCCAAGGGCCCTTAAATAGAACAAGTCGGCGGCGACCAAATTCGTTGAACCGATGCGCCCTAGGCAAACGGGCTCTTCGACGCCATCCCTGTCGGCCCGCGCCAGCACAAGTGGAACAAGCAAAATGACGGCTGACCCAGTGGACGACATCTGGTTTACGATGGAGCGTTCTCTCCAGGGGCGCCCGACGTTCACGCGCAACTCGCGCGCTTCGTTCCGCGTGCCCCCGGGAATTTGATCCGGAACGGCCTTGTCTTGGACCCCAGGACCTGACCCACCCTCGGGCTCATCGGCCGAATGTCCTATGTATCCTGCGCCATTCCCAATATTAGAATCTGCCGATGGGTCGGCTGCGCCAACAGGGGAACTGCTGGGGCATCCCTCGGCGCTGCGCCTAAGGCGCTCAAACCCCCTGCTCTGCCCCCCCAGCGGAAGCCAGCGCCGATTGCTCGGGGCACCTCTAGGCCGCCGATGTCCTGACCCCCCCCCCCGACCCACCCACCCACCCACCAGTGGAGAGCGCGCGCGCTTGCCTGAACATGCTCTGCGACAGCGGGACAGCGGGGGAACACTCTCGGAGATGAAACGAGTCGGCATCATGACCAATCCTCCGCTCAGAGCGCGAAGCCCGTGCTCGCACTGATCGGCCCGGACGGCTGCCGCCCCTGGCCGCTTGAAAAGTTCTTCGGTCGACCTGAACTGTTGGGGCAACGCTCCGAGAGGGTTCTGGATCAGGAAGTATCGATTCTTCGAAATCTGGAACATGGCAAGCTGCGCGCACAATCCCCACGGCACCAGACACTCCTGCTCAACCTGGAATCCCTCATATGGCGGGATGGTGCGCCAGTTAACCACGCGGGCCACGCTGAAACATTCGCAAGGAGGGCCATTATGATCAGAGGACCGTCGTCTCCCACCACCTTCCACAATCGAGCCCTCTGCCTCGCCTGGCGAAGGCCCCAGCCCGTCCGAAGATAAATCGAGCCCCTAACGCCACATCCCACCCCGACACTTCTGGACACGCTCGCGACCAAGAGAAAATCTCAGAAAGCAGGCCCCTGCTTTCTTCGTGAAAAGCTCGAGCGAGAGCCCCCCTCAGTTTCTCGGCCCCCGATCTAACCCCAACGTCTCCCGAGGCCCTTAAACGTGGGCGGCCACGAGTTGCCGAGAAACCGAGAGCCGACCGAACCGATGACGAAACCGAAACCGATCGAAACCGAAAGGGGGCCTGCAGAACCGAATCAGCCGACCGAAACCGACCGAACGCGACAACCGAACTGCAGGGTCACAGTGGCGCAGCCAGCATGCGCTCTCGCTCCCCGCGACGGCGCACCCCTCACACGCTTCATGGCCCCATCAGAGCTCCGCTAAAATTCCCAGCGGCGCAGCCCGCGCGCGCTCCCGCAAGGAACTTCGGCGAACCCCTCGCAAGTTTCGTGGCCCCAGGGAGCCTCCGGGCGACTCGCCGGCGGCGTCCACGCTGGCGGCGCGGGCGGTGTAGCAAGCGCTGGCGCCCGGGGGCGCGGCCGCGAGGATCGCGAGCAAGAGCGCGGGGGACATCCTGGGCATCGGTCGGGCGCTCCCAGAAGCAGCGCGCTGGAAGCCGGGCCCTCGAGGGAAGCTCGGGCCAGACGGGCGGCGGAAGCGGCGGATGTCTGAATCTCGGCGGACTTCCAAACCCCCAGGACCCGAAAATCAATTTCTCGAGCTCCGGAGCCCCCGGCAGCCGAAAAAACATTTTTCGGGGCCCGAAAAATTGCTTTTCTCTCCCCGGGTTTTCGGCGCCTCCAGGGAGCCTCCGGAGCCCCCCCGGAACCGAAAAAACATGTTTCGAGGCTTGAAAAATTGTTTTTCGCTCCCCGGGGCCTTCGGCGCCTCCAGGGGGCCTCCAGAGCCCCCGAAAGCATTTTTCGAGGCCTGAAAAATTGTTTTTCTCTCCCCAGGGCCTTCGGCGCCTCCAGGGGGCCTCTGGAGCTCCGGAAAGCCATAAAAGCATTTTTCGATACCCAAAACATTGTTTTCCTCTCCCCTGGGGCCTTCGGCGCCTCCAGGGAGCCTCCAGAGGCCCCGGAAGCCGAAAAACATTTTTCGGGGGCTGAAAAATTGTTTTTCTCTCCCCGGAGCCTTCGGCGCCTCCATGGAGCCCCCGGAACCCCCACGAGCCGAAAAACCATTTTTCGAGGCCAGAAAAAATGTTTTCTCTCCCCGCGGGGCCTTCGGCGCCTCCGGGGAGCCTCTGGAATTCCCGTGGAAGAAGCGTTTTCGAAGCCTGGCCACGGGGCAAGATTTATCCGGCCAACGGTGCGCCACTGCGCGCATCCGGCCAATCAGCCAACCAACCTCCTTGCTCCTGCTCCTGCTCCTCCTCCTCCTGCTCCTCTCCTCCTCCTGCTCCTCCACCTCCTCCTCCTCTTCCTCCTCCCTTCTTCTTCAAAGGGAAAGGCCAAGCGGAATCAGATCGGCGCGAATCCGTGGGCAGCGAAACCGAACTGGAAACCGGCGGCCGATTCGATCCCCTGGGCCGGCACGAGGCGCCAGCGAGGCGCCCGCGGCGAAACCGAATCAACCGAAGTAACCGAAGAGGGCGCGACGACGCAGGGACTCCGCAACAACCGAACCGACCGAACCGATCGATTCTAACCGACACCGACGCAACCGAACCGACCGGTTCGCGGCCGCCCATGTTAAAGCCCCCCCCCCCCCGTCAATCTACGAGGCGCAGTCGCTCCTGAGCTCGCCCACCGACGAAGGGGCCGATCTGTCTCGAGCACCGCCCACGAGGCGCTCGCCGCTTGCTGCTCGCGAAGGTCGAGGCCATATGAGGCCCGCGCGGCCGCGTTGAGGTCGTCTGCCTTGGAACCCTGAATCTCGCACTCTAGATATGCTGCTGAGGCCCCGGCCTAGAGAACATCCACTTGATGTTGGCTAGCTTCTTCGACTCGCGAGGCCTGAAAGCGACGCGCGCTCTGACGGGGCAGCCCCGTCGCCGAGCTCTTGACCGAACGAAGGGCCAGGTAAATTAACCGCTGAACATTCCCCGGGGCCGACCTGCTCAGCCCCCCAATTGCGCCTTCGCCGAGAACTCCCAAAACGACCCAGGGGGCCCTGAATCGAGATCCCAGATCCACGAGGCCTCCTGCCTAGAATGAAATCAGAGGCGATCCTTCCGCTGAGCCCAGCCCCAGGCGACTAAGCCTTTGGCGGCCCAACTGCTCGGGTCGGTCTTGGAGGGATAGAGAAGTACCCTTCTTGTTTCCCAGGGCCCCTGGCTCAACAACTGGAGACGTTTGCTCGGGGCTCGCGGCTCCGCCCACGCACTGAAGACGCGCCGCGCCTACTGCGGACGCAGCGCCTCCATGCTGCCAGCGGCTGCGCCCTCGCTCTGGCCCATCGGGGCCATCTGCAGGCGCATCGGGGCCAGCGGCTCCTGGAACTGCTGCCGCGCGGCGGCGCTGGCCTGGCGCTGCTCGAACACGCAGTTCATGATATCCTGCCGGCTGGTCTCCTGGCCCTGCATGAGCTGCACCAGCGCCTCGCCATGCTCCGCTGGCGGATCCGCGTCCCGGGCGCTCGGCGGACTCTTGAGGCGGTCGGCCCCTCCGTCGCCCGGGGCGTCGGCGCCCCGGCTGGCGGCGGCCCGGCTCGACATGTCCCCGCCGGAATCAGCGGCGCATTGTACGTCGGCGTATTCGGGCGGCCGGGATGCTTGCGATTGCTCGGAAATGCCTGACGCGACGATCGGATCGGCGCTTGGCAGTGACGAGGCGGCCGAAGAGGCGGCCGGCCTTGCTGCCGCGGACTCTGGAGCTCGTGCTTATCGACCATACGTCTTAAGGCCTCCTGCTCGGCAATGTGGTCCTGCTCTTTCTTCATCCTGTTGAGCTCCTTCTTGACCTTTGCCCCCAGCTTCTCCCGCTGCGTCTTCGGCGCGCAGGAAAGCCTGAACCCGCGCCCCTTGCAATTCGCCCAGGTCGCATGCCGATTCCCGCGTTGACCCCTGAGGTTCGCAGGAAGCTCGCAGACCTCGGGCCCCGCGCGATCCTTCGCCGATGGGGTCGCGCGCTTCGGGGCCAGTGCCGCCAATCGGGAGGGCGCCACTGACGCCAGAGCGCGTATCAAGTGAAGAGCGAACCATCGCCAGCCCTTCTCCGCAGGCGCGAAACGAACCCGCCGTCGTTAACCAGCTGGCGCTCCACCTCGGACAGCTCCACGTCCTCGCAGCTCACCTGTCGCAACTCCCAGTCCCTCCACGGGTCCTGCGCCTGGCCCCAGTTCTTTTCGAGATCGCTGATCTCGATGTCCTCGACGAGTCGGAGAGACCACCCCAGCCCGGCGCCGGCGATTTCTCGACCTCGCCATCAGCCCCCGACCGATATCCTCGACCTCGGGCTGGCTGATCCTTTGGTGAACGTCTCCACCGTCGAGGGCGCGCCGCAGACCGTCGGTCGCATTCACAGCGCGGTCAGCTGCTGGGACGAGGCCCCCGGCACTCGGGTCGGAGAGGGCCGCGGAAGGGACGACGGCGGCGCCCCGAATCTCCCCCGCCGAACGCAATCCCGCGCACCTGCCCCACGAGGAGCGAGGAGGAGGGGGACTGACCCCATCTCGCTGGACACCGCCCCGGCCCCTACGGCCACCCCCCCGCCCCCGGGCGCCCCCCCGGCTCTCGACTCGGAACTCGGCGCGCCCGACCCTTTAGTCTGGCATGGGCGCCGCCCGCTTCTCCCGGCGCAACTCACTCCCGTAGGCGCGCTCGACGTCGACGTCCGCGTCGCCGTTGAACTGTCCGCGCGTCACCACGACATCCTCGAATCAGGTCGACGGGGACCTGCTCCAGCTCTTCGGGCCTGATGTCTGGGACATCCAGACGAACGATCTGGTCGATCTGGTCGGTCCGATTACTTCGATCACCATTCGATCGATGCGGTCGGTTCGGTCGATTCGATCGGTTCGCTCGCCCCGATCGATTTGATCATGTCGACCGGTTCGGTCGATTCGGTTGGATTGGGGATGGGGGCGGTCGATCGCCGCGACATACTTCGGAATGAAAACAAGAGAATAGCATAACCATCTGCATGAAACAAAGAGAAACACTAGAGCGGAAGGGAAAGAACACGAGAAGACGGGAGAAGGAAGACGAGGCGGAGAAGGATGAGGACTGAAAAATGGGGGGGCGATTAGCACAACGATAAGAATTTGATATGTTGCGCATTGGTTATTTGCGCGGGGCTGGGTGCCACTCAGAATGTCGACGCGCGCGCTCAACGCATCATCAGATTGCGGGAGCGGAGGGATCTCGCGCCATCCCAAGGTGCGTGGTTCAAGTGACGTTTTGCTTTGCGGATTCCTGTTGCTGCCGCTGTCGTCGCCCCGCCCGTGAGCCGTCGCGACTCGCCGCGCGACCCGCCGCGCGACCCGCCGCGCGACCTCCCCAGCGACCCGCCACATCTAAGGTCGCCTCGAAGGGGAGAGCCAAAAGAGCTGGCGTCTCGAAGACCAAATGGCATCTACCAAATGAGCCATTGCGAAGATTATAATGATGGCGGTGATGACGGTGATGACGTTGGCTCACTTTGCCGTCCGGAATCTCGGGGTGAATCGCGAGCTAAAAGCGGTTTTCGAAGCATCCGTGGCTTGCCCTAGCAGCAGCGCCCCAGAAATTTGGGAGCATAACTGGGCGAGGGCGAATCGGGCGAGGAGGGGGGCGAAGAGCAAGGCATGAAAACGAACTGGGAAACAGGTGCTGAAGAGGAGGAGAGAAAGGAGCCGCCCGCGCAACAAAAGTCAGAGGTTCCAGGACCGGGTCGAAAAGATAACCTCTGACTTTCGTTCGCGCCCCCACGAGGCGTCTCGAAAACTACGCCTCGAAATACGAGGCCCCAAGCGGGCGACAAGACGCCCGAATCCAGAGAGAAACGCCCCAAACAAAGACGACCGGCTCTCCATTCACAAGCGCAACGCAAGCAAGGTTGACGTGATTGGCGCCAGAAGTAACGATGATGACGTTTTACCTGGCGTTTCAAATTCTTGGGGGAGGCAAGAACGGGTAGGAATAAGGGGCGCCCGTGCGTTTCGAACATGTGGGCGCAATCTATAGACTCGCGTCGAAGAAGCGTCGCTATTGCGGGTGCCCACACTTGTTATTGCCTGAAATTCGCTGTGATCGGGAGGATCGTTGATGCGAGCACCTGCATGTTCGCATTTTTTCGCGTTGGTAGTTACCAGAAGATTGTTTCTTATACTGGTCCGACGCTGGTCCGATATAAGAGCGAGGCTCCGATATAAGGCCACTATGAGATCTTATACTGGCCAGCCACCTCCGATATAAGACCGACATACGTAAGACCAGTATAAGATTGTTCTTTGTTCCAGCTCTGTGGAAACTCTTTCAAGAAGCGTTCCCTCTCGTCGTCCTCCCATTCCTCGTCCTCGTCGTCGTCGTCCCCCCCCTCCTCCTTTTCGCCCTCCTCCTCGTCCTCCTCCTGGTCTTCCTCGCCCTCCTCATCCTCGCCCCGCTCCTTCTCGTCGCCCCCCTCCTCCTCTTCATCCTCCCTCCTTCCTTTTCATCCTCCCTCCTCCTCCTCCTCCTCCTCCTCCTCCTCCTTCTCCTCCTCCCCCTCCTCCTTGTTCTCCGCCACCTCCTCCTCCTCCTCCTCCTCCTCCTCCTCCTCCTCGTCCTCCTTCGGCGCCAAGGGCCCCAAGGGGGGGGGTCGCTTGCCGCCGTCTCTGCGCTGGCACGCGCGCCCGGGTAGACCCATCCCGGACCCAAGATCGATCGGCTGTGCCCTCCTGGCCAAGCCGGGAAGGCGCATGCAGCAAGTTCGCGCTGCGATGACGTCAGCGTTGGTTTCCGCCAGTGTCGATCGTTCAACCTTGAACGATCGGCGGCTTCCCGATCACCAGCTCGTTCTAGATGGACCGATCCAGGGCGAGGCGCCGGGCGCCCCCCCCCTCGCCCCCCAATATTGTTTAGCGTTTCATGCCTTGCCCCTCGCCCCCTCCTCGTCCCATTCACAGCCTCGCCCCTTATACTCCCAGGGTTCCGAGGCGCTGCTGTCAACGCTCCAGCCGCGAATGTTTCGAAAACTACGCCCCCCCCCCCCATTCCCAGGCCTAAAAGCAAAAGGTAAATTATCGTCATCATCACCACAATCACCATGGAACTCGCAGTATTACATGTCGTCAACTACCATTTGGTGTTCGAGACGCTGGCTTCTTCGATGCGTGGACCCTCGTTTCCAAGACGCCCTTTGATACGGCGGGTCGCGGGGCGGGGCGGCGGGCGCGGGGCGGGGCGCAGACGGGGCGATTGCAACAAGAAAAACAACAGGAATGAACGCAGGTAAACAAAACTCCAGCCACGCATATGAGGACGTTGCATGACCACTGCGCCCCCTCATTTGGATACGACAAAAAATCTGTGAGGGCGAAGACCTGGGGCGCAGCGGAACGTCTGAGCATTTTCATAGGACGACAGCCGTCTTCAGTAAACATATTGCTTCATTTTCCCCGTGACGTTTGTGACGCTTTTCATGGCAGGCCCCGCGTGGTTGCTTTCCTTGGTTCGAACGATCGACGCGATAATCCCACGCTTGCCCCGTGCGAGCGTTTACGCGACATGTCGAGAATTCGGTTGGCCGCCGCCGCCGACGTTCCTGGCTCGTCGAACGCCCGACCAGATCGATGTATGATGGCAGATGCGATCGGATCGGCAACATGCAGATATCGGACCACGCAACAGAGCAAATCCTATATTGGCCCGGTATCGGATCAAACAAATTCCACATCATATGCCGGATCGGCATCTGATCACTATCTGTTCTGCCATCAGTTCTATCGATTCGGTCGTTTCGACTGCTTCGATTACCCAGGGGTCAATCCGATCGGCCGCGCGATTCTTCGGGCGTCGCTCTCCGGGGCTGATCGCGCCAGAGAGCAAGCTCGCTCCCCCCCTGGCCCAGCGCCCCTTCTTGTTCGAGTCAGGCATCGGGGCAAACGAGGGAAAGCGATCCGCGAGCTTAGCGATCAGCTTGAACTCGCCCGGGCCCTTGCCGATGAGACTGCTTGCGCGGTGGCCCGAAAGAAGCCTTGTAACAGGGATGCGGGCGCCTTCTTCTAGGGAGACCACAAAGGACGCACGCGCCCAGCTACGCGCATGCACGCGGCCCCTCGATCCGCGAGACTGGCCGCACGATGCGAACACTCGGGCAACGCGCGCTCTCAATCTTTCGCCTATGTTTCTGCCCCCATTAGCAGCGCGTTCCCTGCCGCGTCGATCTCGGCGCGCAAGAAGTCCAGGAATCCGGCCGGCAGGAGAGGGGGGCACGGGCGCGGCAGAACCAGAAATTCCAACACCCCGCACTCACAGAACGTCAACGGGGCCAGCGCTTTCGCCACAGGGAGCGCCGTTCCGCCAACTCCATTCGTGAACGACAAATCCTTCATATACTGAGCGTGCATCTGGCAGCCGCGCCGCTCAAACGCCTGCTTCACGGCGTTCAAGCCCGGCTCGCACGCTAGCGCCCGCGCGGCAGCGGCGCCCGCCGGCGCCTGCTCCTCCGTCGATCCCAGCGCGACGCCGGCGAAGATCACGCGCTCGCCGCTGCCCTTCTCGACGGTCTCGACCAGCTCTTCCAGGAGCGCCGCCTGGGACGGAGCGCTCGCGCCGACGGCGTCGCGCTCGCAGGAGCAGGAGCCCCCCTTGCCAGGCGTCGCGGCCGACTTCCCTTCGGCCTTGAGCCGGTCAGCCTTCGAGCGGCAGGGATTCTGACCATCTTCTCGCCAGCGCCCCGCATCGCCGCAATCCGAGCACCTCGACATTTTCTCGACGTCCTGCTTACCAATGCGTCGGCGCCCAGGCTTCAATGGCGCGAGATCGCCCTTGCGCTTGCGATCTATGAAGTCGCGGTTCCCTCTTCCGGCTGCCTCGCGCTGTTTCGACTCCGCGTTCTCTTGCGTTTCTGATCGGCAACCTCAGCGAAGAGCTGGAAAGCCTCATGTCCATGCAGCTCACCCTCACCACCGTCGACTGGAATGACCGCGTCTTGCTGCTAGATCCTGGTTCGGACTTACCTAGACTCGGCAGCACTGCCCGTTCTGATCTATCGAGCTGCAGCAGAGCCTGTTCTGACCGCCTTGACCGACGTCTCTCCGCCCATCCTCGCGCGCAAGTTGACGCGGTTCTGGCCAGTGAGCCTGGCTCCCTCCTCGTAGCAAGTGGCCTTGACGGCGTCGGGTAGCACTAGGCCGAAGCTCTCAACCTGCTCGAGCTGAGAGTCGCGTCTCACGACGTAGGATGTGTAAGACTCGCCCTTCCTGATGCTGAAGTCGAAGAGAGCGACGTTATGTGTTTCTCTCACGTTGTCCCGATGAACGTCTCGAGGCCGCCGGGCAGGTCCAGCTTCACTCTGGCACCCTTGAATTTCATCGGAAGGTCGATCGCGAACATCTCCAGGACTCGTGATGTTTGAAAACTCTGCCCGAAGTTTTGTTCGTCTCGACCATGATCTCACACTGCTGGCACACATCTCAAGGTGTTCCATACCTGGGAAACCGGGAGGTGCCGAAAAATCTCGCGACCTCTTCTCTTGCTTCCACGCTGTGCTGGGCCAGTCCTCTTGCCAGTGCTCATCCTCTTTTCCCACTCATCCTTCAAGTCGCCGTCGTCCTGTTGCCGACTGTCATCGCCTGCCTGCTGCTTGTTCTGCGGCCATTGGTCACGCCAGCCTGCCCATCTGTCCCAGGCGCCGCCCCGAGCCAATCTCCATCGTTTTGAGGGTGTGTACCCTGCTCTTTTCAATGAGCTCTCGTCGTCCTCCTCGGTCTGCACCGCGAGTTCCCTGGACCCTGTTGCTCCCGCACTTGCCTGTCCCCCTCTGAGCCGTCTCAACCACGCTCTGGCGACCATTGTCAGATGAGTCGTCGGGCATGAATCTAAAGGCAAAACGGGGAATGGCGACACGTTTCACAGCATAGGCCTGAGGAAATCCGGGTGAGACCTCGACTGCCGACTGACAGCCCTCTAAGCCTCAAAGGGCTGCGGACAAACTCTGGGCGAATCCAAAGAGGGAGGGGAGGAGGGAGAGCACAACAATATGAACCTGCTAAGACCCCTACAGAAGCAAGCTCTGACTGGGGAATTATAACGGCGATGCCGGAAAAGGCAACAAAGAGCTATCACTAAGTTGTCTGTTCGACTTTCCTGCCATTCCACCTGCATACCAGACTTCAAGGACCACGGTTCATGGCGCGAAGCGCCAATGCAGTCTCGTATGTATGTGTACAGGTGTATATATATATATATATATATATATATATATATTTATACTATCCCAGGGAGACAGGTGAAGCTGGGGGGTAGCCCTTAATTTCTTTGTAGAACGGAGAACAAATGTGGTGCGAAGAATACGTTCAGCAACCTGTGCGAGCGGCGACGGCGGCAACATAGCCGCCACAAAGGCAGACGGGCCCAGACCACGAGCGACGACTCGGCGGCGACAAAGCGGCGACGGCGGCAACATAGCCGCCAGAGCGGCGACACCGGACCAGACGACCGGCGACGACGAGGCGGCGACGGGGCGACGACGGGACTAGGACAGTGTCCACACAGCCGCCAGAGCGGCACACCAGCCCAGACGACGAGAGGCGACGAGGCGGCGACGGGGCGACGACGGCGGCTAGCCGCCAGACTGGCACACCAGCCCAGCTCCCCAGGAAAAAAAGGAGAACCCCTAAGTGCAAGCACTGCTTGGGGAATCAAGAGAGAGGGAGAGGGTGAGGACGGAGAGCAAGGTAATTGGTGAGGCACAAAGAGCGCGCCAGGTCTTGTCGGACTTGGGCTTCCAAAAGTCATCGTTGAGCACCTGCTTCGGAACCTGCGTCCGCGCCGCATTCGCGCTCAATGTAATTCCAATGGGTTCGCCTCCTCACCAATATTAGCACTCTTACCATGCTCCCACCACTAATGAAAGATATCGTCATCGCCGTCATCGCTACCCCGGTCGGAACTGCTATCCTTCCTCGTGACGACGAGCACACTCGTCGTGAAGCAAACAAGCGAGCCAACGAACAACCAATGCATCCTACAATGTCTCCAAGGACACGCAATTATGCCTCCAAACAGGAACCGCTGTGAGTGAACAGTCGCAGCGAAAATATATGGGACCGCATCCTCTTTCCACTGTGTTGGCTAAAGTCGCGCATTGCTGCCGGGGGCGACCTCGCCGTCGCCTGGGCTTGGAAGAGGTGGGTCGCGAGGCGTTGAAGCGTCCAAGCTGGCCTCGGCGAGGAGGCCAGAATCACTGATGTTACTCAGGTTTTGGCCACATGTTGGCCTCATGTGGGACGGGCCATGATGAAGGAGGCCCCCTCATTTGATCGATCTCTTGCACGATGGCACCAAGACGACCCCCGAGGCTCCCAAGGGTGCCCCAAGAGGGCCCCAACAGGTACACCCCAGGAGACCTCAAGAGGCCTCCAGGAGGCCCCCAAGATGCCCCCAAGAGGCTCCCAAGAGAATCCCGAAAGGCCCCCAGCGAACCCAAGAGGCACCAAGATGCCCAGAAAGGCCGCCTCGACCAAAAGGCCGAACTTATTGATGTTACTAAAAAGTTTTGGCCACATGCTGGCCTCCTCAAGAGGGAAGACCCTAATCAAGGAGCCTCTCTCATTTGATCGATCTCTTGCAAGATGGCCCTAAGATGGCCACCGAGTCTCCTAAAAATGCCCCAAGAGGAGCCCAAGAGATGCCCAGGAGGCCATACCCCCAAGAGACCCCCCAAAAGGTCCCAAGAGACCCCCCAAAGGCACCCAGGACGCCCCGGAACTGCCAAGAGACCCAAGACGCCCCAAGATGACTTCAAGAAACTCTCGAAAGAAATCTAGGAAAACTCCGAGTGGCATCCAAGAGGCTTCTGGCTTTCTGCTCGCCTCCTCCTCCTCCTCCTCCTCCTCCTCCTCCTCCTCCTCCGCCTCCTCCTCCTCCTCCTCCTCCTCCTCCTCCTCCTCCTCCTCCTCCTCCTCCTCCTCCTCCTCCTCCTCCTCCTCCTCCTCCTCCTCCCTCCTCCTCCTCCTCCTCCTCCTCCTCCTCCTCCTCCTCCTCCTCCTCCTCCTCCTCCTCCTCCTCCTCCTCCTCCTCCTCCTCCTCCTCCTCCTCCGCCTCTCCTCTCCTCCTCCTCCTCTCCTCTTCTTCCACCTCAGCCCCATTTTCATCCGCACGTTCCTCCTCCTCCTCCTCCCTCCTCCCCCTCCCCCCGCCGCCATCCCAATTCGAGGTTTTTCAATGAGCCTGGCTGGGACTGCTGCCAGACGCGCCGGCCCCGCCGATTTCGGCCCTGCCACGGCTGCCTCCTGATGTCCGTCCGGGCGCCGCTGCGTGTCACGAGACTTTTCCAACGAGCACTGCCTGCTCGCGCTCGCCGGCCCCCCTGCATGGCCGATGTTTCGAAAGCATTTCCTTCATCGACCACTCGTGGAAAGCGTCCACCAGAGCGACCCTGCCTCTCGTGCCAGTGTCGGTACCGCCGGCGTGGCTGCAGAAACTGTTCCTCCTGTTCCTCCAGCGCCCGATCCCTGGCTGAACGCCAACTACGTGGGCGCCGCCGTGTATCTGCAGGCCCTGCTCCGCACAATGGGCCACCGCTGCTGCCGACTGCTGTCCTTCGACGATAAGTTTACGCGGTTGTTCCGCAATATGCCGTTGGAAAGCGAAGAAGCCGACCAACTGCCAGGGCTCCGCCGCTGCTGCTGCGGCTACAAAGAAGCGGACGGTGACGCTGGAGCCGGTTGTTTCTGTTTTTGCCGCTGGCGCCACTGCAGGTGATGATGTTGGAATTTTAATGTCCTGGAAGTAGGCAAGCCCCTCCGACCAGCGCCCCCAGTCTGGGCCCAAACGGAACGGCGAGGCAACCTACGGGCCCCGCCCCGCACGGCGTGGAGTCGCCATTGCCAAAAAACTCGATGGAGCCGTGGCCGGGCCCGGGTGAGGTGGTGAGACAGCCTACGGGCCCCACCCGCGCCTGCTGCCGGAGCACGAATCTGCCGCGAATGCAAGCCGCCTAGACTCTGGGCGCCCACCAGGAGCTGATGATGACCGTCGGGCTGTCCATGCATGACCTCGTGCCACTGGAGATGATAGCTTGCAGGTCCACGATCGGGCGCCACCTGAGCTGCCCCCAGGCGCGATCAACGACACTCCCGCCAAGCTGTTCCAGCGCGGGGCCACTGCGACACCCGCCGACCTTCCCCCGTGGCCCATCCGGACATTCCGACGCGGTGGATTGCAGCGGAAGCGGACTGGTATGTGCCGACCCCTTTCTGAGACGGCCGTGGCGAGTCGTGAGTTGGGCGACCTTTCACCCCGCACTGACCTCACTGTCGCCGAAGCTATTTTTAACTCGGACATGTTCTCCTACAGGCAGATGTTGGCAGAATTGCCCTGCGACGTACCCAACTCATGGGCATCAACGGATGATAGAAGGTGCGCGGACAATAATGCGACAACAACAGTGCAAGAGAAGGTGCACGGCGGATATCTATATCGTGCGAGGTGTGCGTGGCCGACTGCCGAAGCTCATGTACAAAAGGCCAGGAGTCATTGTACTGGGAAGGCGAGGCGTAAGGAAAACATCGAGTTGGGAGTACCATCGCCACGGCGGAAGCAGCGAGATGATGGAGCATGGGCAAGATAAGGTTACAAGGGCGGGACGCAACCTAATAACGAAATGTCGCCAGCGCTCCGTGTTGTTGCAGCGCCTCGGAAAATCAAAACAAAAGTTCCCACAACTAGTGCCAGGAGCGGTCAAAGCCAAGCTCGCCCGCTAACCTCACCGATTCCTCCCAGCACCTGTGAACGCGAGCACCAAACGCGCGCAGGCTCGCCGCCAGCCCTAGAAAGTGGCGACCAATTCACATTTCGCCCCCCCACCCACCCCCACCCCCCAGGGATGGCGAGGTCTTTTGGCATCTCCGTGAAACCCACCGTGCAGGCCCCCCCAGCAGCCCTCGAGAGTGGTGACAGTTTCACACTTCGCAACCCCCTTGGACTGGCGAGGTTCCATTTGGATCCGCGCTGGGCCCCACTGTGTTGCCCCGCCCGGCAGCCCTCGAAAGTGGCGTGAGTTTCACAATTCGCGGCCCCCCAAGGATGGCGAGGTCCCGGCTGGGTCCGCGTAGGGGCCACACTGCGCGGGTTCCCCCAGCGGCCGTCGAAAGTGGCGACACACCAGCCAGGCAGAACAGCGAGGCAGGAGGCACGCAAGCAGGCGGGCGCAGGAAGGCGAGAAGGGGCAGAAGGCAGGAGGAGGAGAACGGAGGACTGGAGACCCCACTGCTCTATTCGAAACGGGAATCCAACCAAGGAAAGGTTGATATAAAAATCATGATCCTGGCGAAAGACCCGACAGTACGCAGCAGTGAGTAACGCAATTGTTGGCACTGTCTTCGGTGGAGTTCCCAATGGGGCACGAAACGTGTGAGGGGTGTGCCAACGCGGGCGCGGCGGTGTCATGCGAGCGCAGCCACTGGGGCCTTCGGTGGAGCTCCCTATGGGGTCACGAAACGTGTGAGGGGTGCGCCGACATGCGTGCGGCGGTGTCATGCGAGCGCAGCCACTGGGCCTTCGATGGAGCTCCCTACGGGGCCACGAAACGTGTGAGGGGTGCACCGAAACAGAAACATGCGGAGGGCAGAAGCCAAGAGGGGGCAGCTGGACGAGAAGGAGGAGGAGAAGGAGTCTTTCCTCTGAGAATCGGGATAAGATGACAAAGGAATTAAGGTCTCATGTTCTCTCTGCTCAGTGGTAGAAGATTCAGGGAGAGACATCAATGAGAAGACAAAGATACCGTTAAGCAATAGTACCCAAGAATAGGAAGGGAGGAGGCCGGCCGGCCGACGACCAACGACGCGCGACGGACGAAGGCAGGCGCGCTCCTTTTCTCTCTCGAGCACTGAACAGCTGCGGAACAGTGCCGCATGATAGTACTGGCAGTAGATTGCAAGGCAGGCAGTGAGAGCAGCAAGGTTAGGATGAGGCGGAGAGGAGCATATTTACTCCCCCCGCGGCGGGCCTCGCAGGGCCCATCCAGCCACAGTACCCCCGGCCTGTACATATGTACATCCACCGGAGCCAACCGCAAAACGTTTTACAGCTCAGCGGTGGCTGCCAGTGGACTGAGGGCCGAAGAGGCCCGACGACTCCCACCATTAGTTTAAATCAATTCTCTCCGCCGAATCGACTTTGTCGATCGGTAGAGCTCTCACAGCCGATGCGACTTTGTCGATCGGTCACTCCTGCAATGACTAAGTCACGCGGGCTTGGCCTAACTCAGATTATCCCATGGATTACTGTCTCTCGACGGCGGAGGCGGAGGCCTCGGACGCGACGACGACGAGCCTCCCAGTCCGCCATCTTTCCCACGGGGCGAGCGGGATCTAACTCCCTTGCCACGGCCAGCGTGATACGCTGTTCTGTTGCGCTTGTCTTGGTTATTCGACTCTTTCCCCTTCGTCGGGAAGTAGCGGTTGTAGTCCGTGTAAGACAGTATGTGCCACGTTCGTGAACACCAGACATTATCGGCCATCCACCAGATGCGGTCACGATGTGCGCAGTACCCATCCTGGACGTCATTTGCGATGCGCGGGTAGTGGACCCGCGGGTCGTAGCCAGCAGCGCCACGGCCGACATCCATGGCTCCCTCGCGCGCGCGGGGTGGTCTAGACCAATACCGCGGGTCAGCCGACGAATACCGCGAGTACTCTTCACCTGCCGAGGCGGCTGGGACGCTGGCAGAATACGGAGATTCAGTGACCTCTTCGCGAGCCCGATCGTCTTGGACGTCGGGTCTGCGCGGTGGAGGTGGCGGAGTTGGTCTCGCCT